TATGCCAATGGGGCCTGAAGTTCACTGAGAACATGGAAATGAACTAAAACTCATCGAACTCGAACAACCAGCCCCTTAAGCGCAACTGACCTTGCGCGTAGTGCACTGAGCACATAAAACTCGACCACAGCACCTACAGTGATGCCGTCTGAGGAAAACTGTGAACTTGGTGCAACACAGCATACAGGATAATGTTTCCTTGTCAGCAATCCAAATCGGCTTCACCTGAAACACCGATTATAAGCTGCAAGAAAAGTTAGGTGCTACTGCGAAGATTGTTCTCTTCTGCCTGTCACATAATATGTCAAATAACGATCTGTGGTTTTTAATTAGAAATGGCTTAAAGAAAAACTGCGCCACTACGATGCAATATCCTGGTCCCTGTTTTAAACGTTGGACACCTACCCTTGTTAAAACTTTGCTATCTTGGTAATCTCTGACCCCTGGGGTATAAAAGCACTCATCCCCATCCCCGGGATCCCACAGCTAGTTCAAGCCGCACGAGAAGCTGCTCTCTTCTTATCTCTGTTCTGGGGAGCTTATGTATTACCTTTTATTGTTTAACGTATAAATATATATGACTAGGCGTCTTCCACAGGCACACACAAAGACACACAAACACACACAAACACACACAGACACACACAGACACACACACAGACACACACAAACACAGCGCACGCCTCTAGTCTAGAATATTAACTTTTAGGGTCGCGATATGTCCAATGCTCTCTGCCACCAGTTTACACTGGTTGATGTACGTTCAATGTAAGACAATATTTCAAATTACCCTTTGTAGTAAATCAGGGTGGATTACCCAATGGCGCTACATGGTCCAGCAAGGTGTGTGAAAGTATTACTATATCCTAAATGCTATGTTATGAGATATAGCCAAGACGCACTTCATCTGAAGGATTTCTGCGGTGGTCAGACGCCTGATCAATCTATATCGGTAGAGGGATTATAATGCTAATCAGAATGGAGTGTTCCCTAGTCCTCAATTTTCAGTTATGCGCTCTCTCTAGCTTATTTAGTAAATTTTCTAAGTTCCTCCACAATAAATAACAACGCTGAAACTGTGAGAGGAGTTAATGCAAAGAATTTCCGAGAGCTGTGAATAACAGACGTAAATACGCCTAAATTCATATCAGGAAATAGAAGAATAGAAGGATTTCACTTGAATATCATGTGTATGAAGACATGACGCAATCTGTGTTTCATCCCTTAGCTGTATACACAGACCGAACAGAAAATAACACTAACAGGCTCTAATGATGTCGCCTGTAGAAAACGTGAAAAAGGCAAGCATAACTTACCCTGCCAAGTTGGCGCTCGCTCTCAGTGAGATATTTCACACCCGAATCACGGGATATATCGTGTGTGCTTGTTACCACCGAAGCCGCACGAGCCTCTTCAATTTCTTCCATCGTTTCGTATTCATTTGTCGAATCGTCGCTCGCATTTTCCACTAATTCCGCCTCCTCCCCTTCTTCATCAGGCCCGCTCCTCTCCTTCTCCTCAGGCTGTTCCTCCTTTTCCAATGCCAATGAATCAGTGCACAGTTCGTCGCCTAAAAATTCACCAATGCATTTTAGAGTCGATTTTTCAACACTAGGACTGTCAAGCGAGAACAGGACACCAGTAAGAATGCGAAGGCCAGGATCCTTGCTTCTATCTATCACCATAAATCATCGAAACGGTCATTTTTTGCTTCACAGGCATTATTTGCTAGCAAAGTAATACACCAAGTCGATTTACTTATCTGAGAATCACGGCAATATCTTGCAGAGGCTGCCTTTCTTTGGGCAACGAGCACTTTCTCTGAATACCCCGCGCGGAGCTGCTTTCTTTGCCCCACAAAACTTATTGTCGTGTGTTTCCGCATCCGATATTACTGCTTCCATCGTGGATATATTAAGTTAATCCAGTCCGCAGTGCAGATCAAACCTATGCATCAAGACTTCCCGCTCACATCTGTGCACAGACAATTCCAGAAAATAATAATAATAGGCTCTAGGCTGACTGTAGCTTACAAGTAGATCCTAGCAACTTAAGGAGCGAAGGAGTGGAGTGAAGTATGAATAAATATGAAAATAGTGAGTTAAGACATTTCGGTCCATTAAGTCTAGCTTTAAAAAATGCCATCCAAAGGTGGAAGGACAATCCTTTTATTTGATTCCCCCTCTCTACACTTTCATTTCTGCGCAGTCTTCAAGGGATCTGAATCAAAGCGAAGCACCTCTAAAATGAGGATTAATTTACATTTGCAAACTTCAGTCAATGTGTTAAAATGCATACCAGATGGTTTGTTTGTTTCTCCTTCTGTGATCAGCTCCTTGTCACTTTTTACATCTTCTGCACGGGGGCTGTCAACATCGGCACTGCATAGGGCTGGTTCGGCTAAAACCTGCGACATCTTCGGAGCTTCTGCGCAGCTGACCTCACTATTTTGTATAACATCAGCCTGCTCATTTTTCATTTCATAAGTGGACTGCGACTCATCCACACATTCATCTCCAGCTTCACCTGCTCCCCTGACTTCTTTAAAAGCCGATTGTTCCAGCTGTACCGGCAGTAAATCGGATGGTTCACCAGAGGGATTGTTGTCAAGTGCTGCACACATCCGCTCCACAACGTCCGCAACATCGTTTTTAGACGTTTCAGCCGCATCACATCTGAAAACTGTGTATAGAACTATATGGAATTCAACTCTGCTGAACTTCCTTCGGTTTTTACAGTCCCCGACCTTTTTTGTTATTTTTCGATCTACCTACGGCCACAAATTACCAATCCTTACCTATCAAACTCTGAAATTCCTATTTGGAATAACTACTTTTGGTTGGGCCTCCATGGCCGCTTCTTTCCTTTCTATTTCTAGCTGAACACGAAGCTGAAAGAAAACATAAGGCAAATTTTAGGATCAACTAAGTTAACAAACACTTTATGCAAAAAGGCAGAGCAAGAGAGCGATCTCGGGAACCACATGAGCTAAGGGGCTGAAACTTTTTAGGGATATCCCCTGTGCATTTACTAGCTAAAGATTTCAAAGCGTGGTATTCACGCCTCTAGGTACGCGTGGTATTCACGTAAGTGAGACCAGAAATTTACCTGGCCAAATATTCTTCCATTTCTTTGTACTGCTCGGCTCCTCTATCAAGCTCAACATCCACCTGCAATTTTCATACATTTTTAACAAGCAACTTTTTTACCTAAAAAGTTTTAACTGAAAAACAATATCTTGCTAAATTTGGACATAAGTGGTGCAGCAGTGAAGTCGTCTTCTCTCTACAATCTTTCGATTTGAAGAAAAGTCCAGATAGCTAAGCACTGGAAAGATATAAATACTCGAACCAAAAGGCGCAAAAATCAGACGAAATCATGCAGAATTTAGCTAGATGGGCGTAAAAAAAAAACATAAAACTCAATAAAAGCGAATTACAATCAGGTGGGAAGTAATAAATCGCGCAAAAAAGTCCAAAACTCCAAAAATCCACATCAAAATGCGACGCACAAACGCGGAGAACACAAAAGTCGATCCCTCCCCTGCTGAAATCTGCATAACCCCAGGGATGGACTATATTTACTCCAATTAATATATGAAACAAAGATTTGGTACCTCAGCGCAAGGTTCCTCAAAATCAGCAACCTCTTTGTGAACTGTTGCTGCTACCTGCGTGTCCTCGCTGTCCAAAATGCCGTTACACTCCTGAAATAAACCTAACCTGTGAAAATTTCATAAATTTATAAATAATAAACATTCCCTTTTCAGCACGAATTATAACAAATTCGAGCGTCCTTCTAAACAGGAAGTACTTATTATGCGTTTTGTGCTGAGTAACAGCAGTACAAAACGCATATTGTCACAGGGT